ACAATCATCTCATCATGAATGTGAACAAAACAAAGGAGATGATTGTACATTTCAGGAGAAACAGGAACAGGTCCAATCCTATTCCATCATAGGAGAAGAAGTGCAGGTGGTGGTATGGTGTTATGTAGGGTAACACCACCTTTGAACAGAGTTCACCTCATCTCAAAACAAACATCATTCATGTTGTGTTTGAAGATGTTAAAACAAGATGCATTTATTCCCTTGGGAATGAACAGACTTTATTTTACAGGTGTTAAACTCAGCCTTGTCAAAGTGTTGGCCACTTTCAACATGAACTCATTTCCCACGAAACGGACAGACCGTCTGAATGAGAGCTGTGGTTCATTTTGACCTCGAGGTGGGACACCTGCCGAGGAGTTTACTCCCAGGATTTTCCCATGGCATAACAGTTTTAAAAGAATCCTTTGTTTTAAAAAAGGAGATTCTCTTTTCAGGAGATGAACAGCGACACCTGTTGGGCGAACATTACATGTTTTTTTACAGTGTCAGAACTGAATGTGTCATAGAAGATATCTGTGTTAAAGTAACCTCTCTAAGATAATCATGTTTATTTTTCTTCTTTTAAAACAAGTGTGGCTTTTTAAAAGGCAGACAGACAACTAAAATGGACTGTTATTTTATATTAAAACATGACAGAGTTTATGAACCATATCTCGTGGGAGGTCCTAAGTCAATCTGTAACACCCAGACAGACATTTCACTTCTCAGTTCTTCTCCACCACTGACTACACACTTCACCGCTCCTTCTACATGAAGCCACTTCAACTTCTTCCCTAGTGAGATGTCCGGGGAAGAAGCTTTTCTGCAAACGGCTCAGGACGAGAGAAACCTGGCATTAGAGTGAGATCCGAACCAGAGACATCAATCACCGCAGAGTGATAAAATCACAGCTGACTTCAGAGCCAGTGGCCGGACCTTCGTCCCTCCAACGGTGATCGGTGACTTTTGAGGACACAATCCGCCTTTCAGTCACCGGAGCCTCTCAGGCCTTGCTGGTATCATCATAAGCAGTTGTGGACATTCTGACAGTTTATTCTGGTGAGAGAGACCCTTCAATGCACTTTCTGGTAATCAGACATTCACAATAACATTAATTTAGATACACCACAGTTAATTTAGTCCAAGGTTCTGCCTTTTATAAAAAGTTACACTGGATTTTAATAATCAAATAACCTTTGACACAAGGTAATTTTGTTATTAATTTGTGTATTAATTTTTATGAATAACCTTCATCAGAGTATTATTTTTGTAATAAAATACATAAAAATCAACTAAATTTGTGATTATTTTGACATATCTGTGTGTATTAACTGATTTAATGCTCTTTAAACACAAGCAAGAATTCATGTTTCAGTTACATTTGAGGGTAGAGACTGATTTATTTTCCTCTCCCAAGAGGTGGTGCCCACTGAACCGAGGTTATTTGCATAATAAATGCATATCTTATGAGCCTGACTCATAACTAATAAATTATATAGATATCTGATCAACAAATCCCTCTACATATATATACTAAAATAAACTACTACTTTCTACTTGGTAGTTTTTCACATAGCGGGTTTTCAGGGTACGGATCTCCCACAATAAACGAGGGACTACAGTAATTACATAATTCAGTCACTCTCTGTTTAGGTCTATAAAGTTCTTGCTTCTGCCTAATGCTATAAGTTAATACCAGAATGTCTCCGTAGGCCTGGTATGCTGGGAAGCAACATGGGCAACTACCCGTGGCTGGCAGACTCTTGGCCCCCTACTAATCTGGTCCACAGTGATAAAGAGGCTGTCAATGGCTGCTCAGCCAATCATGAAACAGCTGAGAGATACTATAATGGTAGGAATGTCTCCTGGCTGTGCATGACCTTAAACCCAACCAATGTAGCTTTGTTAAGTCCAATCTGTGCTCTTTAACAGAAGCTGGTATCTCCAGCTACCTGAGTCAGACTGAGAAGTACAGCACTGGAGGCTCCACGGAAGGTCCTATCTACAGCACCATCGACGCCACCAACGAGGACCTGCATGGCCTCACTTACAGCCAAAACACTTCAACCAGTCTGTATGCTACCACCACCATCATGCCCTTTGTCAATCAGACACAGGTACCAGCTCACAGTGCAGAGCAACTGGATGATGAGCACTGGATCAGTCCGCCAGGCCTGTCTGGAGCTCAGTACGCACAGCCAGATCGATGCAGTGGTAAGACAAGATGCTGGAACTGAATCTCGATGTCTGTTATCAAAATATCTTTTGAAGCACTGGATGAATTTTAATGAAACTTGCTGCCATTAACCATTGGAAATCCAGCTACAGCTTTTCAACTTTTGGAGACAACATGACTCAAAATGGTTGCAAAAGCCAGATGAACTTAAAAAAACACCTCTCCCCCTCACTGTTTGCTATTTTCATCGAACCGCTAGCCGCAGCAATCAGGCAAACTACAGATATTAAAGGCATAAAATGCAAGAACATAGAGCACAATATCAGTCTATATGCTGATGATGTGTTGCTCTTCCTCCAGCATTCACAAACCTCCCTCTCTCAGGTTATTGGATTGATAAACTCTTTTTCAAGATGTCCTTTTTCAAGAGTTTCAGATTACTCTATAAACTGGATAAAATCCACAGTTCTACCAATTAATTGCTATTTCAACAATTCACTTACTAAACAACTACAATCAGGGAATATTACGTACTTGGGTATCAAAGTCTCTCCTTGATTGGCAGATTTAACAAAACTAAACCACATCCCACTTTTAAAGAAAATTGAGGATTGCTTGATGGAAATCTCTACCCTTATCTCTCATGGGAAGGATTGCTTCAATAAAAAAAATATGGTTTTGCCTAGAATAAAATATCTATTCTCAATGATCCCAAATAAACCATCATCTGACTAGTTTAGATCCCTGGACTCCTCCATCTTTTAATTTCTTTGGAAAGATAAACCCCCACAAATTAAACTAAAAACACTACAGAAGACCAAAGATAAAGGAGGACTAGAGCTACCCAATTTCTATTATTACTTTCTAGCCAACAGGCTAGAATACATCTCAAGATGGATAAAACACACACCCCTTGATGAACCCTGGCTAGACGTAGAACAGACACTGCAATAATATAATGATTTTGGACCTTCCATTCATTAGCTCAAACATAGAACGAAAGGAATGATTTAAAAGCATCAATATCAGATCCTCTCTGACAGCTTGGTGGGAGTTTCTTAAAATGACAGAGTCTTCACTAATTCCATGCAGACGTACACCCATCTGGAACAACCTTGACATCCTACAACAGAATAATATGATAAACTTCCCAGGTTGGAGGTGTAAAGGAATTGAATATTTGGAACATATATATGAGGAAGTAGACTATATCCCATTTAACAGATTAATAACACAATATGGGATTGATAAGAATACATTTTTTGAATATCAACAAATTAAAGCTATAACAAAAAATACATTTAACCTTAATAATATTAGAATTGAAATACCAACAAGTGTATTAGAATTCCTAAATCTTAACCCTCCCAAATTACTATCTAAGGTTTACCTTGACACTCATTAAAATAGATGAATCAATTCAATTTCAATTTCAATTCAGTTTATTTATATAGTGCCAAATCACAACAAAGTTGTCTCAGGGCACTTTACAGGAACATTCACATACATAAAAGCCAATTAGTAAAGTTCTCTAAGGAATCCAGCAGACAAGTTGAATCTTGGATTCGTTGCAGTCTCCCATCCTGAGCAAACAAAGTGCAACAGTGGAAAGGAAAAACGTTGGTTACGTACTGTAACCCCAGATTCTATGAGTATAAGCGTAGCCCTTTAAGGCCTTCGCTTTAGTGGGTTTATCCCGTTATGCGCAGCATAAGCACTGAAAAAATTTAGTCCACGCCCACCTGCTGTGTGGGCCCCACCCGGTCCGTATAAATTACGTTAAGAGCGGGAAATCGGCTCCCAAAATAGCTTTTTCTTCAGCCATTTAGGAGCCAGTGAGGCCCGACGCTTAAAGGGCTACGCTTATACTCATAGAATCTGGGGTTACTGTACGTAACCAACGTTCTATGTCGTATAAGCTTCGCCCTTTAAGGCCTTCGCTTTAGTGGGTAAAGGGCGAAGCCGATGTGGTCCTCGCCTCACTGGGTCCATTCGAACACAGTTTGACGCGGAAGCTTGCCCAAAAAACGTCTTGTCACTCAGCTCCCCGTGTGCATAACTACGCGTTACGTAATTATGTGCCATGCACAGACGCATGTTGTGTAACTATGCGTACTGACAAAAACATGAACGCCCCGGAAATTTTCAACGGGGAAAGGATGTTGAAAAGAAGAGGGGGGGGGGGGGGGGGGGGTCATGAACCAACTGGTTCATGGCTGAGTATTATAAACAGATCAAAAAACAATGAACTGATTATTGATCAATTGAACTGATTGGTAACAATAGTCATGAACTGATTAATGACAATAGAAACAAAAACACAGACACAACTTGTGACTGATAACAACATCTCACACTGTAATGCATGCAGACAGAAGTGAGCTTAAACAGAGTTCCATGAAAAACAACAATATTCATTCTGTTAGAGCACTAAGGACAGAATGTGTCATGGAACGAGCCGTCACATCACGTAGGTAAAAGCGAATAAATGAGCAGGGTGTTTACCATGCAGCCGCAGTGCAAATGTCCTGCATTGACATACCATTATGCAGAGCAGTCCAAGATGCGATACCCCTGGTCGAGTGTGCTTAGAGGTTGACAGGAGGCTCTAAATCTGATGCTTGTAGGCTTCAGAAATGGCCTCACACAGCCAGTGTGACAAGCGCTGGGTGGATAACGGGCGACCTGCAGAAGCATCTCTATAATGCACAAACAGGTGTTGAATTTGACACATTACAGCTGTGCGCGCTATGTAACACGTCAACGCCCGCACCGGACAGAGAAGATGGAAGATGCTTCTTCTTCTGATCTGTGGGGGTAGGGAAAAAACCCCTCCAACGATATCGCTCTTGATTTAAAAGAGCTTGTGATGATTTTAGGCATAAAAGCTGGGTTTGGTCTTAAATCAGCTTAACTACCGTCAGCCTGGATTCTGAGATATGACGGAGCGACAAAGAAGGCAGATAAAAACACTCACTCTCTTAGCGGGTGTTAAAGCCAGCAGCAGTGCTGTTTAAAGAGACAAGAATTTAAGTGGAACCTGATCCAAAAGCTCAATGAAGCTTTGATCATGACCTGCAGGACCAGTATTAAATCCCACTGGAAACAAGTGGGTGTGGGACAGACCTGCGTCTCTGTACACCTTTTAGAAAACGTTTCATCAGAGGATGATAAAACCTGTTCTGTCTCAGAAACCTTCATGTCAGGAAGAGATGGCTGCAACGTATGTTTTAAACGTGCTGGATGCAGATTTCTATCCATCAGCTGCTGCAGAAAGAACAGCATGCCACCTAAAGAACATGAGGAGGCCTCTACATCCTTCTCTGTACGTCAGCACTGAAAAGCTGTCCGCTTTGATGTGTACATCGCTGTGGTAGATGCAACACGTGAAACCTGAATTGTGCGCATTACATCCTGTGGGCAACCCATCCTCTGTAAGAGGATTTGTTCAACGGCCAGACCACAAGTGCTGGCCTATTTCTGGGTAACTCCTGATCGCTCCTCCTGATTGAAGGAGAGCATCCTCCCTCCACGGCAGTTTCCACGGGCACTCCGACAGCAGACGTTTCAGGGCTGGGAACTATGGTGCACCCACGCGCTCGGGGCCACCAGGAGAACTATCAATCCCTCCTCCTGAGCTCGGTTCAAGAACCGTAAGATAGGAGGAGGTGGAGAGAAACGCATACAGAAGCGTTTCGGGCCATGGACTGTGAACAAACGCATCCACCCCCAGAGGTGGTTCGTCTCATGGGCTCAGAGAAGCGCGTAATTGACACTGAGCGTTTCCCGTGTCACAGCAGGCCCACAGCCGCTATATCAATCTGAGACAAAATGCTCCATCAGAGGATGATAAAAGTTGTTCTGTCTACGACAACTTTGAGACAGGAAGAAAACACGGTGGCAGCATACAATAGTCGTGCTGGACACCAGATTTTTGTCCCTCGGCTGCTGCAGAAGGACAGCATGTCGTCCAATGGACATGAGGTGGCCTCTACACCTTTCTGTACAGCAGCGTTGACCAAACAGACCACTTGGTGTGAACAGCGCTGTGGTGGGTGCAGCACGTGACTCCTGAATCGTACGCACTACATCTTGAGAGATCCATCCTCCCAAAAGAACCGCACAGCGTCCAAAAACATAGGTGCTGGCCTATTCTGATTAATTCCTGATCGTTTCTCACCGCCTGGGGGGAAGCGTCCTCCCTCCAACGGCAGGTTCACGAGTGCCCTGATAACAAATGTCGTAAGGCCTGGGAACCATGATGCGTTCATGCACTTGGAACAGAGGGGCTGCCAGTCCTTCCTCCTGAACTCGGTTCAGAAAACCGTGATACCGGAGGGAGAGAGAAGGTGAAAGGCATTACGACCACAGGCTGTGAGTAGGCATGTCCACCCAGCGGTGGATCGTCCTATGGTTCCGCGATAATATAATTGACATTGAGCGTTCTCTTGTGTTGCCACACATCAGCAGATGTTGGCAGGATTCTACCGTGTCTGAGCCTTAGCTCTGGGTGGGATACATGCGATGTACCCACTCCAAATGGAGAGCGGATTGGATGTGCCCCACACAGTATCTGTCTCACAATGTGGCACATGGGTTGAAAAAATGCATACATTTCCTGCTAGTATGTATGCGACAGACACTTGTTGTCTGAGAATCAAAACCCCTGATGATTCTGCAGCTCAAGGTCAGTGTTGAGTCACATTCAAGGATCCCGTGCGACACTCCAAAAAACATTTAAAACAGCTGCTGTGTGGAGCACAGCGCCCCCACAGCTTGTTAAATGTGTGTGACGTAGGTCTGCTGACGGAAAACAGCTGATATCACTCAACCATTCACGTGAATTGCACTGCTGCCCCCTGTCTGAACAAGCTGCTCAGCAGCCACAGGTGTCCAGATAATGCATAATTAAAATGGAGTGTTGTTCTCACAGCTCAGAAAATTAACAATCTAAAATAAATCTCATCTTTCCAGTTCGTTTGGACCAGGAAGTGATAAGAGAGAACTGGTGTTTCCTCTCCATCTGAGGCTCTAGAAA